AGGCAGTTCTACCTCACACCTGCTTCGTACATAATGATCAGGATTAGAAGGGTGGGAGTTACAGACATCTATTTAAAAAATACAGAATTCTACCCTTTTCATTTCCCTAGGCTGATCTGGTTGGTAAACCCTCCAGGTGGCTCCCAAACTTAATTCCAGTTCAGACACCTGGATTTCCTTGTTGCACTGAATAGTTTTAGAGTATAAAAATAATGATCTGGTTTAGTACACTACTCCTCCAGCTCCTCATCAGTGGCCCATGTTCGCCGAAGTGGGAGGCACAAATGGTCCCTATAATTTCACAAAAATGCCTTTGTTCCTACTGTATCTGACCTTTTGAATGGAAGGTGAGGTGCAAGTAGAAAACTGCTGAGAAAAAAGGTGAAAGTATTACCGGAAGGGGACACACCGATTCTGTAGCAGTGGAGGCAGTGCGAGCGCCCACACCTGGGGGTGAGGGAGACAAGAGACAGAGAGCAGTAGCTCTTGTCTTTCAGAACTGCCCCTGGCACCTCCGTCCCGAGGAAGAATGCCATCGTGAGACTGCGCCACACTGCTCTACCCAGTACAGAATTCTGTGGTTCTGTTTCCATATGTCTTATTTGCTGTGTCAATTTGTACCATTTGTCACTTTCACTGTCACTATTTTCAGGATAATTCCACCTTTTTCCGGGGTAATTTTAAGATTTTCCCAGTCTTAAGTGTTCTGGAGTATCACTGTAAAGCAATGTATAGCCCTGGCTGGTGTAGCTCAGTGGATTGAGCATGGGCTGTGAACCAAAGGTTCATGGTTCGATTCCTAGTCAGGGCACATGCCTGGGTTGCAGGCTAGGTCCCAAGTAGGGGGTGTGTGAGAGGCAACCACACACTGATATTTCTCTCCCTCTCTTTCTCCTTCCCTTCTCTCTCAAAATAAATTTTTTTTAAAAAAGCAATGTATGTATTGGTTTCTTTTACTTTTCATGATTGGGATTGTTTGGGCTTCATACAATTAGTTTTCTTTTCACTTCCAAAAAATTCTTAGTGATTACCTCTTTACATTTTGCCTCTGACCCACTGTCTCCTTTCTATAATACCAATTAATATACATTAGACCTACTCAGTTTATTTTCCAAATCTTGCAACCTTTTTCCATCTTCACAGATAGCTGTCCATTACAGGCTGGATAATTTCTTCTTATATATCTTCCAGTCTAGTGATATGCTCTTTAGCTATTTTTAATCTATTAAACCTTTGTTGTATTTTTTATTTTATTAATTCCAATTTTCATTTTGAAAGGATATTTTCAGTGCTTTTTCAAATGTGTTAGGTCATTACTTTCAAGCACTCCTTACTTCCTTTAAAGTTAAGCATAATTCTATCAACCACAATATCTAAACAAATGAGTGCATTTTTGCTGAGTAACCTTTTTCCAAGTATGCCTGGTAATTTTGATTGGTGGGGCTTATCGAGCTACAAATGTTACCAAAAGGAGTCCTTTGAGGCCAAGGATAAAGACATCTTCCTAAATAAAGAATGTATTTTTGATTCTGCCAGGGACTAGGGACAACACAAATCTAACACCCTTTAAAACTAAACCCCCAACTTAAGATTTAGTGGACCATTAAAGTAGCACAGATTTCAGTTTCAAAACTAAGATACGGCTCCTCAGGGGCAAGTTCCATCACTTATAACAGCGTTCCTCAGAGCCAAGGCAGCCACCTTTACAGTGCTCCAGGGGCTTGGGGGGGAATGATTTTCATTTAACCCTTATCACGAATGTTATCCCTTGGTATAAGCATTTTAATAAGGGGAATGAGCTCCTATTAAAGCTTCCTACCTTACTTACATAGACACATTCTAAAGGATATCATAAGTAAAGTTCAAGTTTACACACAAGTATATTCATCAACTCAAAAAGTGAGTTTCCGTGTTCCAAACTTACTCTTTGGGCTCATTCCTTCACTTCGATTTTTAGTCTTACCATCTTACCAATTCTGTAAAACTTTTAAGAAGATCTTATTAAAGTTTATTTCCAACAGAAACAACATGTTCTGGTTGTTTCCACTAGAAAATGTGTCAGTCTACCATATTTCTTGAAACAGTTGGAGGTATGCCTTTTTTAACACTTCTAACTAGAACCTAGCCTTATAAAGCTAGTTCAGAGTAATTTCACGAAGCAAGTCATTTTTACAAGTATGCCATAGACCTAAACCAGTCACAACTGGTTTCTAAACTATTAGAAATTTCAACTATCAATGCTCTACTTATTCTCCACCTAAACAATGAAAACCAAGAGATAATTACAAATACATCCAATCCTGAAAGTAAGAAGTGATTATATTAGGAAGTGCACTTTAATAATGTGTGTAAGCATAGATTTGTAAGTTACATATATAACACAATAGTTGATATGTATAACTGTAAACTTATACATAAATGTTTATCTGTAAATAGAGCATACATTTCTTATAAAAATTTTTTAAAAATCAACTTAAAAATTATACAAGGATATTTATGGCTGCTTAAACAGAGGATTGTAATATGTAAAAAGATAGTTTCTATCTCACTTAATTATACACAATGATGTAGTGTTCCAAATATGTGAACTCATATTAAAATTTGTCTAATGAAAGATAAACTATAAGTCAAATGATTCTAGCATTTAATTTGGCAAAATTTTTGTCTACTGAACTTGGGTAATAAACAAACACTTAAATTTAATTTTAAGTATAGCATATAACATTCTTTCCATTAAAATGCATCATTTTGCCTTTAGAACTTAAGTCCTACCCTTAATAAAAACCTATAGAAACAAATTTATCTCTGCCAAAAGTTTAGCTAGAATTCTCACATTCCTTTTTTTGATACAATGTGATTTATATACCTGCTTATTAATTGCACACTTTGCATTTAACATTTTTAAATTATAAAATGTATATATGTTTATTAACTGCACACTTTGCATCTAACATTTTAAACTGTAAATTAGAAAATCTACACATACCAATAAAAATAATTGCATTTGCAACAGTAAATTGCTCACTTTTTATTTCTACAGAGTATACATTTACGTAAAATTATACTATTCTAAAACCTCTATAATGTTATCTACAATAAAAGGTCTTTATAAAATATTTACTATTTTAAAAGTACACTAAAAATGAAAAGACCAAGAATAAGAAAAAAATTATCTTAAGAATTTTTTTCCTATTTGGACAAAAATAAGTATCTAAAACAATATATAGAACATAGGTTGAACTTAATAATAGATTAGAAATAGTCTTGATCCCCTATCTTTTAAATCCTTTTTACTTTTTATTACTTAATTAAGTACATACTATTTTAAAACTAGAAAACGCCTGAGATAAAACTGCTGATACTATTTTACATCTTTTTCACATAACAGACCCCCACTCCCCTTAAATATGAAACCCATCTCATATATTTCATTTTTAAAACATTTCTTATCAAAGCTTAAATACTGTCAAGTTGTATAATTACTCAAGACAACTATTTCATTTCAATCTATTTTTCAAAAGATTTTATTTATTTTTTGAGAGGGTAAGGGAGGTTAAAATGAGAGGGAGAGACCATCAGTGTGTGGTCAGCTCTTGAGGCCCCTGACTGGGGACCTGACCCACAACCCAGGCGTGTGCCCGGACTGGGAATCGAGCCGGCGACCCTTTGGTTCCCAGGTCAGCACTCAGTCCACTGAGTCACCAGCCAGGGCTCAATCTATTTTTTTAAGACAAAACTAATTTTATAATTTCTCCAATCCTTCAGGAAATAAGCCTACCTACAATGTTTAAAGCGAGCCTACGTATTTTTGGTTTTCATTTAAAATTACTGGCATTAAATGATATTAGCCACACTAAAGAGGTTAATAAATTTTAATTAAGCTTTTCTATTTTAATATAAGTCTTACAGGTAGTTTCCAAAATAACATTTAAAGACATTTAAAAGTATTACTAAGAAAAATTATGTGCATAGCACAAACATAACATTTTGAGATATCTCCTACTATACAGTAATTTCAGATTACTTAGAAGTTTACTATTGATATTGTGTCAAGAAAATTAAAGAAAGCTGGTCTTTTCTGTTATCAACCTGTGTTACAGGAAAAATAGCTCTGGAGTCATAAAACCCATCTAAGCTATAAACCTTTGGAAAATCACGTAACCTTTTAAAAGTCACATTTTTCCTTCAGTAAGAGTTACCAATGCCTCCAAAGAGTTGTTTAGAAGATTATAGTTAGTTATAATTTATGTACATTTTTTAAAATTAGAATTGTTTTGTGATAAAATCAAATTTACTTATTTAATCCTCTGGTAGATCAAATTGTTTCAAACTAAAAAAATTTGGCTATTTTTAAATAAAAAAATAAAATTTATCATTCCATCACATATCTTGGAATCCTGCCAATTACTTAAAAAAAAAGAAGAAGAAAAACTTTATGCTATTATACTATATATCAGTGGTTGGCAAAATATAGATCATGAGCCACACCTAGGTGGCAGCCTGTTTTGGTAAATCAAGATTTATCGGAACATACCCACACTCACTAAATTATGTGTGATCATAATTTAATGGCTGATCTTGTACTGCAACATCAGAGTGGGGTCATTGTAGCAGAAACGATGTGGCCAGCAAAGCCTAGAACATGTTCAACAGGCCCTTTACAGAAAAACTTGGCTGACTGCAGCTATAAATGACAATTGTATAAGTAAAATTGGACAATGTATACAAAAAAGGGTTAGGAGAAAAATGAAAGAAATATTAAAATATACACCTAAATATACGCCCATATTACCACTTCAAATCCTAAAATCTAAGCTTCAAATGCAATTGGAACTAGAATATGAAAATTTTGGTTAGGTAAAATATAAAAACAATACTAAAGTATATTAATAATTTATTTAGAATAACAAAGTATATCTTTGTGCCTTTTGAAATTCAAGCCAATTACTATTTATATTATAGATAGTACTTATATCTATTTATACAAATCATGTTTTTACCTGCTAATGGCTTGCTCCTCATCAGTTATTCCAGTCTCCCTGAATGCCCTGTTTGATTCCGCCAAACTCAAGGCAATTGCTCTCTGAAGATCATCTTTATCATCTCCAGTGAGATCAATCACATCTGAAAAGCAAAACTATCTTACTCAAAATTAAAAGTCAAACAAAATGAAAGGTAATTCTTATCATGGATATTTTTATACCTGATATACCCTTTCAAACCAAAGTTAGCATCAATTTAGTTATTTGTAAGAGCCTCTCTGAAGAAATAAAAACCAATTATAAATTGGTACACTTCAAAACTTAATGATCTTCTCTAAAATATGCCTAAAACAGTAGCAGCATAAATATAATTCATTGCAGAGGAATCTCAATATTTATTACATAGTCTCTTATTAAAAGCTAGTAAGTTTCTTTACTAACAAAAATCAACATTCATATTCACATTTATGCTTTCCAAAGTCAACACAATTAGATATTAATTAGATATTAATAACTAATATCTAATTAATATTAATATCTAATTAATATCTAATTGTGTTAATATCTAGGGCACCTAGATATTATCCGTCATAGTATAATTAATAGCTTAGCTCTAAAAAATTACGTTTCAGAAACTAACCAACTATGTGTGTGTGTGTGTGTATATGTATACACACACACACATATACACAAACAAACAAATACATTTTTTTTAAAGTCTGGAAGTATGTACCAAACTATTAACAGTGGTTCATTTTGAGGAAGGAGGGTTAAGGGAGAAGAAAGTGTAAGAATCTTTCATTTTCTATAAAAAGCACTTCTGTACCCTCTGAAGTATTTAATAAATTTGCAACCCTTTAAATATTTTAAAATGTTTATTGATTTTAGAGAGAGAGAGAAACATCAATTGGTTGTCTCCCACACGCAGCCCAACTGGGGGGGCAAATCCACAAGTTAGCCATGTGCCCCGATCGGGAATTGAACCCCCAGCCCTTCAGTATACAGGGCAGTGTACAGGTGCAGTTTGAACCAACTGAGCCACACTGTCCAGAGCAGCCCTTTAAATTTAACAAAAAGATTTCATTTCACCAAAAGAAATATACAAATAAATAATACTATTTTCTTTTCTAACAATACAGTCTTGGTGCTATAAGTATTCTTTTATCCAAAAAATAAAGACTGTAATTATCATTTTAGAAAAACTTTCAAAATCCAATTTGCCAAGGTAAACTGGTCAATTCCTTTAACCCAGAAGATGCCAATAATATTCCCATTATCATTTAAACAATGACAGGAATCATAACTGTTGCTAAGTTGGGTTTAACAGAAGAATATGATGAGAAAGATAAAGTATTATGGCTATTATTACCTTATCTTTGCATGGCTAGGATTATGCTTATTGATATTTTGAACAAGTTCTTCATTGTTTGCTTATTTGTATTTGAGACATGTTAAATATTAATTTTTCTGTGTAACCCTGGAATTTTACAGCAGACAAATAAAATGGGATAAGGCAGTACAAATAAGGTACCTGCATTTTACCATCTGGCTAAAGGGTTTTATACAGGTACTAGAAAAGAATATCCCACACTTAACGAGTGTTAATGTATATTGACGAAATAATGTATATTGACAGTTTTAAAAGCCTATTTCTATTGTTATCCACACTTTTTTCTCCAAACAGTAGCTTATAAGAATATTAATATTAGAAATAACACTTATCTATAGAAGGTGTTTTTTTAAAATGTCCTTAGTATAGTAAATCTCACAAAAATGTAGTAAGTAGGATTCAAAAAAATTCCACCAAATAAAATGTGCAGCAAAGTTAATATAGCAAAGGTAACTGACATGGAGAGGCATGTCTATGGTCACCAACCATCCAAAGGTTTCCTAAGCCTGGCTCACAAAATCCAAGTCCAGCCAGAGGGCAGCCACAGATGGATTCATCCAGTCCAATAGGAATCTGTATGAATACTGATGAAGAGAAAGGTAGGACGAGAGAGAGGCATGAAACGGCCTATAAAAATGAATCATTAAGTAATGAGTATAACTTGGATGAATACAGAAAGAATAATGGAAGTGAAGGAAATGATTTGCAAAGCACAAAGAGGCAGAAAAACCTGTTTGGCAGACATGATCAATTAGCCCTCAGACTCCATTCTCCCATCCTCCTAGTGCGCTCTCTTCAACTAGAGAAGTTGTAAAGATTAAAATAAATAAACAAACCTGTTTCCCCAATCCACTTATGGTTGAAGTTCTGGGTAAAATTTAAGTCTACCAACTGGATGCACTAACGTGAGATCTGGAAGGCAGAAGTGAGGGGAAACCATTATCCTGCTTTTTGCTGCTTTCTCCAAGACGACTAAAGAGATGTGGATTGTTCCACTGTCCAGTTTCCAGTCTAGGGGATGTCAAGGGATAGAGAAGTGGCAGCTGGGCTCTGCATACCAACATCCAGGCACAGATCAGTGGCTGTGCCCTAATCCTGGCAGCCTGCCCCCTGGGCTACAGCTACTGAGGCACGTTCCTGAACTCAGTGGTCCCAGACACAGCCTGATTCACACCCAGCCTGACTGTGGTAGAGGGAGTAGCTCCTCTGACTGGCCAATCCAGCAAGAATCTGGGAGGTCCTTTCAGAAGGCTGAACTACAGTCCCTTCACTGATTTCTGAAGAACGCAAACCCCCATTAAACTTCTCTGAAATAATCAAGAGTGTTTACTGTTTCATGACTGGCAAGTAAACCGAACTGGCTAGAGCATAAAATTAGATGAGAATAGCAACAATCATACTCAGAGCTTTTCATAATTTATCAATTGTAACTCAAGCAACAAAAAAGAAAATAGCAAGGGAAGATGTTTTTAACCCTGTTTCATAAATGAGATAGATAAGTAAAGTTGTGAAAATGAAGTATAACATTATAAAAATAAAAAATGTAGACAGGCTTCAATTTAAGTCTTCTAACTATTAAATCGAGTGGTCCCTTCTGCATACTGGCAGTTCTCCAAGTGTGGTCCATGGGTCCTTGGGGACCCCCATAACCCATGAGAAAAGGGAAAACTCTAAGGAAAAACATTCTCACAGTATTACTCACATGCTCCTCGCTTATTCTGCTGTGCTCACATCTGCACTGATGACGCGGACCAACCCTGCCTTAAAACTGCTGCTTCCTAGCCCAAATCAGAGCAGCAGGACCAAGCTGTGTGCACAATTCATTGTACTCCTCACAACTGCACACACACGCTATTTTTTTAAAAATAAAAGGTCTAGTTTCTCCTAATTCCCTGATAAAAAGGGGGAAATATTTATTAAATCTGGAACACTGACTTACATGTTAATACTCTCACCAAATTGGAAGTGCTCTGGCTGTGTATCCAAATGGACCACTTGCTGCTCTAGAGCAGATGCGAGTGCACTATTTCAGGTGCAGGTTCAACCAGCTGATTTTTTCATGGAACACTATTTTTACTCAAAAAAAAAAAAACATCAACACACTACAAACTGTGAGTATTCAGACTTCAGTATTCAGAAGGCATTTTCTCAAAAGTAAACAAAGTGACTTGTAACTTAGAACAAATAAGAGTATTTGTTGCCGATGATTAATATGAAAATTTTAAGCAAAAATTGGACCTTTGTTAAATTTGTTTTGACCATTGTGAACTTAATATCTTCCCAGTACTTAACAGCTTTTCTGATGAAATCAAATGATGCTAAAAAGTTCTATTTGTTTTATAATGTACAGATTCCTCCAATATTTGAAAGGAAATATTTTCTAAGTTACCAATGCATGGTACTATAAAATCATGCAAGGAGCAAAGTAAGTGATAGAGAAGAAACTTTTGTTCTAACATTGGGTTTTTGACCTTGGTTCCTGATGCAGAGCTCCTGAAACACTTGAAATTTCCTGAGTGACAGAAGCATCTTTGGTTCTAGTGAGCTGACTGTTGGCGGAGTCCTGAGGAGCTTCAGAATGGACACTGGTTTCCAGAAAGACTGAGCCACAGTGCAAAGCTTAGAACTTTGAGCCCCACCTCTTACCCTCCAGTGAAGATGGAAGGCCTAAGATTAAGTTAATAATCAATCCTGCCTCCCTGATAAAGCCTCCAGAAAAATAACTAAACTACGGGGTTTGGAGAGCTTCTTGGTTGGTGAACATTTCCACATGCTACACTGGCAGGATAATGCTCCCCATCTGTACAAGCCAGAGGCTCCTGTGCTTCTTGGGACCCTTCCAGACCTTGTTTTATGGACCTCTTCACCTGGCTGTTCATCTGTATCCTTTATCATATCCTTTGTTATAGAACAAACCAGTAAATATATGTGTTTCCCTGAGTTCTGTGAGCCATGCTAGCAAATTATCAAACTTGAGGAAGGGGTTGTGAGAACCCCCAACTTGTAGCCAAGTCAGACAAAGTATGGGTAAGCTGGGGCTCAATACTTGTGAATGGCTTCCAAAGTGGTGGCAGTCTTGTGGGACTGGGCCCTTGAGCTGGAGATAGTTTCACAATTGAATTAAACTGTGGGACACCAGCTACTGCTGGTGAATTGGTTGTTTGTGGGGAAAAAACTCACACATCTAGTGTCAGAGGTATTGAGTCTGAGCAGATAAAGAAACAAGCAATAGTAATGGTTAATGCAAAAAGGTTAGTTGACCAGAAACTACTGCTCTTCAACTGAAAAGCTGGGACTGCCTTCCCCTAAGCAATGAAGAAGGTTTATTTATTATCTGCCTGTAGCTTTAATGTAACTACTATTTTCTTCATTTCCATTACGTAATAAAGCTTCTTTTGATAGGATATTTTAGAATATGGCAATCCTGAAAGGAGACTATTATAACCTACTCATACACCAAATACATGTAAATCAATATTAAGAAAAAATATCCTTAATCAACAAAAGAAACAAGTAAGCAAAATATAACCAGAGACACTAAAAATAAGAATAATCTGACAGGAGCCAGGGGATGGGGGAAGCGTTTTCGGGGACTACTATAGAGAACACATGGACAAAACCAAGGGGGAGGGTGGAAGCAAGGGAGGGAGGTAGGGCTGGCCGGTATAGGGGGAGCACTGGGGGGAAAAGGCAGACAACTGTAATTGAAAAATAGTAAAATAATTTAAAAAAGAAAAAACATTCTTTCAATAAAGTAGTTAAATCTAAATTTCTTCTTTTCTGGCTTTGTAGGATGATTTCCATAAAATACCTAGTGAACTACCAATTTCACGATGAAAACTAGCCCTCTGTGATTTTCTTGTATGCTTACACACAAAACAAGACAGAGAACAAGCATGGCTATAAACTATTTCTAATGGGCAGCAGTCAGTTATAAAAATTTAGCCTTTGTAACAGTTCTATCCAAATACCAAAGTATTATGGATATTTTTATGTCTGTGCCAAGGGAAGACACTGAATTTTGTTTTAACTAACCCTCCATCTACCATTGGGTTGGCTAAACAGTCCATATGGTTTTTTCTATAAAATAAGACACGTTTTTCATTTTCACCAATAACTTTATTGATTTGGACATTTTGAGTATCTCAGCTCTCTCCTATGTGATATGTTGGCCTTATTCAATGTCTTGATTTGATCGCTATCAACTTCAACTGGTCTACCAAGCGTGGAGCATTGTCCAGACAGAAATCTCCGGTGTGAAACTTCGCAAACCATTTTTGACATGTTCGATCAGTCACAACACCTTCTCTATATGTTGCCAAATCTTTTTTCATGTTTCAGTTGTATTTTTACCTTTCTTGAAGTAATAAAGCATAATATGCTGAAAATGTTGCATATTTTTCCATCTTCAATATTAAATTGGCTACATAAAAATTCACCAATTTTGAGAATTTTTTTATTTTTTAAAGATTTTATTTATTTTTAGAAAGAGGGGAAGGGAAGGAGAAAAACATCAGTGTGTGGTTGTCTCTCATATGCCCCCTACTGGGGACCTGGCCCACAACCCAGGCATGTGCCCTGACTGGGAATCAGACCAGTGACCCTTTGGTCTGCAGGCCTGTACTCAGTCCACTGAGCTACATTAGCCAGGGCAATTTTGATAGATTTTTAAATGCATCACAATACAATATAATAAAATTGTTTTGAATGAAGTTAAAGAAACAATGCACTACTAGAGCCATCTTACCGAAAACAAAAACAAAAACAAAAACAAAAAACCCCTTTAGCCGACCCAATATTGGTGTGAACCCAATCAAGTGCATAACCATGTTAGTGTCAGCTGAGTAACAACTGTAGAAAATTGCATGTTACAAAAGCCTATGAGCAGTAATCTCCAACATTTTCAAGTCTGCCCAGATTAAAAAGTTTTTTACATAAAGTCAGAAATATATATACCAAAACATAACATTCACCCCAATAAACCTTTCACTTTCCAAAGGATTACCATTTGAGTAAACTTTAACTACCAAACACTTCTCTGCTAACTCCCAAAGACAGGCAGCCATAAATTTACCAATAAATTAGGCTTTAAATGTATACAATTGTTAAACTCATAATTTATTTCCTACGAAAATAACATGTTCAATGACAATGAGGCATCTACAGTATTTGACAAAGCTAATTTAGCCCATAATATAGTTGAACTACAATGTATAAAGATTTCGATTTGAGAAGAAAAAACAAGTTTTTCCATTGTTTTCTTTATTGATGTGGTGCTAAAACTGGGAGAAATACTTTTTATTTTTTAATAAGCCAAGCGTATATTTACCACCAGCAAAAATTTCTAGGCAGGGGGGTGATATTAGTAGAAAGAACTCTGTATTGGGAGTTAGGAGTTAAGGTGTTGAACTAGAATTTGAAAAGGGTTGTAATAAGAATATGTACCAGGGAAGGAGCAACTGGAAGAAAAAAAATATATATACACACACAAAAGCTGATAAAACGGAAAATTAATTGGTTGTTCTGGGAAACTAGGAAGAGCTCTAAAAAAAGAAAAAACAAACAAACAAACAAACAAAAACACTGAGCCGGCAGACAGATGGGAGTGCCTTTAGGAACGTGAGCACAGGGATGGTGAGCAGGAGTTTGGAACTGAGCATGTGACCCTTTTCACCCGCACTCCCTCTGCTTCAACCTCCCTCTGCTTCAACCTCGGCTGTGCCCTCCCAATTCTTCTGGGCCAAATCCACTCTTGCCTTGAGGCCCTAGCCTGAGATACACCTCCCTCAGACATCTGTGAGGTTCACTCTCTCACTTCATTTAGGTATCTATAAAATGTGACTTCATCCAAGAGACATTTCTGACTAGCCCTGTATCTAAAATACCATACCCTGCACCTGACCTGCAACTGTATCTCAGTCACACTCTGTCCCTTTACCCTGTTCTAAGGTTCCCCAACAAATACTACTACCTGTCACTATTATTTACTGTCTGTCTGCCCCTGTGTATATAAAGACTCTGTTTTTTTCAATGGCCTAAAAAAGTAAAGTGCCTGATACATATTAGGCAATCAACAAATATCAGTTAACCAAATAAAAATATCTAGAGACTGTAGAACAGAGATAAAAATTAGTATGGCATCTTCATAGAATTAATTAGAAGACTTCAGAACATATACTCTATCCATCTAAAATTTCTTCTAATAAGTGAAAGGACGAATAGCATAATAAAGTAGCATGTTAAGAGAATACTTAAAAGAGGATAATATAAGCAATATAAACTGTTTTACACTCCACTCTCCCATTTTCCTCTGCCCCTAGTCAGCTCGCTTGATATTCCTCCTTTTCCAATCTTCCTACTGCTGAACTCAGCCCACCTCTAAAACAGTGATGTCCAGTATAACTTTCTATGGTAATGGAAATGAACTATTATCTGCACTATTATCTGTCCAATATAGTAGCCACTAGTCACATGTGACTACTACTGCACGTTTGAAATGTGTCTGGTGAAATAAAGAGACTGAATTTTAATGTTATTTAATTTTAATTTATATTTAAATTTACACCTGTGACTATTTTTTAAAGATTTTATTTATTTATAGGGGAAGGGAAAGAGAAGGAGAAAGAGAGGGAGAGAAACATACATCAGCATGGGAGAGGGAAACATCCATCAGTTGCCTCCCCTACACTCCCTGCCCACGGACTGTGCCAGCAACCCAGGCATGTGCCCTGACTGGGAACTGAACCTGTGACCTCTCTTTGTGGGACAACACCCAACCAACTAAGCCACACAAGTCAGGGTGCCACAGGTAATTACTGATAACTATGCTGAACAGCTCGGCTCTAAATAGTTTTGTTCTGTTTTTAATAATAGCTGCTAAAATTATAGTGGCAGCATCGATTAGGAAAATAAATAGGAAATGAGCCATTCCTGAATTTTGTCATCAATTTTACTGTTTTCCAACTTGGACTGTGAAGGCAATTTAGTTAACATTCTATATTAGTCAACAAAAACTGCTATCATTCTGCCATGACTATCATTCTGCCCTAAAATTAGAGAAAATTCATGAAGTTATACAAGTCCCTTGACAGTGCCTGTCTAATGGAGTACAAAGCTAGTTACATCCAATCAGTTACCAGGAACTGCACACCCTTGTAGCATCTTATTTCTAAGATTAACCCCGTTTTTGGTGAATCTCCAAAATAGTTTTATGTATCGGAAATCCTGATGGAAAAAGAGATTTAACTGCCACTGCCTTTTTTCTATCTTCAGCTATTTTAAAAATTTGGGGAATGGGAAAAATATTAGTGTTCAATTAATAAAAACCTACACTGATTAACGTAAGGGATTTAGCCTCAGCAGGAATGACAGTACTAGACTTGAATCTATTTATCACTTGTGCTTTAAATCCCTTAGGCCAAAACCAGAGGTCTAGGATGTAACCTCAACATTCTTCTCACCTTCCAGGCAATCCTTACAAAGTATTCAGCTTCCTTGGGGTGGGGGCGAGGGAATACAATGATGCTAAATTGGTGAAGGATCCACCACTTAACGCTTATTCTGCTGTGTTACACCAAGTTCTCTACAACTAAAGCCAGTAGGTGGCATTACTTTCTGTATTAAAATTACCTACCTAAATCTCTCTTATCTTTTGATCCATACTTTGATTGCTCAATTGTGGCACATCTCGTTCTGGTGGGCAAATACTGTTTTTTTCCTGTTTTAAAAAAGTTCAAAAGAATTTAATGGTCACGAAAGAAAGAATGTTAACTATTTGATTTCAAATTGGTAATGGCCTTGTATGGTCCTGTCTATGACAGAGTCTGCCATGACACAAAACCCTCACAGAATCCCTCCTCTGACTATTAAGTACACCTATGATATCGCAGTATGCTTGCATTGTTCCCCTGACCCCACTGCATTAGCATTTTTTATAGCAAAATTCCAACACGAGTTTATTTAAAATTTAAGCTGGAGGTGAGAGGCACTAATCTGAAAACCACAATATTCAATCTGGACAGGAGACCCAACCAACAACAAAAAAGATGCCTCAAGTTTTTGCTTAACACTACAAATGATTTAGGCATCTTCCCAAAATTCGACAGTGTTAAATTATACTATCAACAGGTACACTACTTCTTAATTGTTTGATATGTAGATAATAAGCTTTCCTTGAAATGTTTACTTTTTCTCTTAAAAGTAAAAGGTAAAAATGCACTGAAAGGCCAACCATTGTCCTACTAACTACTGAAAATGTAATTCTTCAGCATTAAGTGCAGGTTCACAAATATGCATTCTTCAAATCAAATGGAACAATTTACTTTATCTTCTGGTGTACCCGGGTATGCATAAATGAAAATTTCCCAACAAGCCCCAAACATGACTTCTATGCGATATTGGTTAACAAGCTAAATTTTTATAGTCACTAATAAAATTGTGTTTTATTTCTTCTAATAGAGACCCATAGTTATAAAGTTATATCCTGGCTTATATCAACAAAGAATCATATGTATTTTGCATTAGAGACTTTATTTCAAAGTATAGATACTTTGTCTACATTGTTATAGATGACACACTTAAAGCTCCAAAGGCTTTTTTTTTTTTTTTATAATTTAGCCCTGTTTGCAACAGACATATACTTAAAAGGTGAATTAAAAAAAAACCCTTGCCATATTTGAAAGAAATAAGTGAAGTAAGTTAAACTATGGCCAACTTTCAAATAACAATGTATAATTTCCCATAAAATTAAGAAAATGCTCAGAAAGGGTTTTCATGTCTAGAACAATCCCGAGAGAACTTCCTAACACTTTCATCACCCCAGTACTACACACTCCAGCGTTTACTGCGGTGTTTGCAGTAAAGGCTCGCACTGGAGCACATTTTCATCTGTAACTGTTTCTCTTGCCCACCCACGTGTATTACCACTCTTTCCCAGAGTTAAAAACGCCACAAAGATTTTGCTTTTTGCTTCTTTGGAGTAACAGCGAAGTGACTGAAAGAATCTGCTGAATGCATGATATCGCCTTCATGTCCTAGTTTTAAACCATGTAACATATGACACTACAAAATTTCATGTTGAATCAGGGCTACCTCTGAAAGGCAGCTGTAGTTCTTAAAACTTTATAATATATGAATCAAATCTGTTAAATTGAAAATATTGTTACCTCACCAGCTATTTTTCCCAGTTTGAAACTATTAATAATACAAGCACTACATTATATCTGAACAAGTTTTTTCTCAATAATCTTAAACCAACTTTATGGACACACTATACAAATTACTGAATTACTAAATATGAATTAGCATATGGTTAGAAAAAACAGCATATTTTATCAATAAAGAAACCACAAGAGCAAGCAATTTGCTCAATACAACAGTCAATCAGTTGAGGTGAAACCAGAAACTGTTTTTCTACCATTTCTTTAGACTGGAATATAAAATTACTTACTGGATATTTTTTTTCAAGAGCTACACACATGCAGAAAAAAATGTAATTATGACCAAAAGGGACACATGCCTTCTGAAATCAGGTTGCCTGTTCCCTCGGCGCACCTATTCAAATCTTTTTATCCATAGCATTTTCAATATTCCTTTGGCAAAAATCTTTAATAGGCGTTAATATCTTGCTTAAACAGTATTTACTGACTTTCTCACAGCAAGTAAGACATTTCTTTTTTTGTAAGTCTTATAATCCCAATTCCTCTGATACCTATACGCGCTATCTCATGTCACAAAGTCTACCAACTACGTTAGAATTCACAACTCTCACTGTGAAATCTGTTCATCCTTTCTGCTGGAACACTGAACCATGATTGTTCCCTTAACTCGAAGCAGTTGCCTTCAATCAACATCATTCTATTTTTCCTTTTTCTACCTAATTCTGTGTTTCCCCCAAGTCTCAGGACCTTGAAAGACATGTTATTTTCACATACTAATTCCTCCTCTATTTATACACTTCTCTTTAAAAAAATCCTTTATTTTTTCTTTTTATCTTGCAATAAGCTCATGCCCTTTCATCAATTTTGAAACAGCTTTTTTACACATAATAAAAATAATTCCACATTTTTTGAGAAACTATGACATTCTAGTATGATGGTAGGCACATCAATGGTCTCTTGCCTTGTTAAGCTTCCAGTTTGGTGAGCAAGCCTGGAAGGCACAGCAAATAATTTGAAAACAACACAGTACTCTTGAAGAATATAAAGTATGCTCTAGGTACTAGAGAAGTACCTGGTCCACCCTAGAGGCCCAGGGAAACATTCCAGAAGAAAGTAGGCTGCAGGTAAAGGCTAGAGGGGATTCCAGACAGAGGAACAGCACATGTAAAGACAAAAGACATTAAATAGCACCTGGTTTTTTTAAACATCAAGCCATTCTGTATTACCACAGTATAAAGTGAGAGAAAAACAGTAGAAAATAAAGTTAGAGATACAGACAGAGGCCAGACTATAGTTTGTCTTGAACTTGGACACAAGCAAGGTCTGTCTTAAGTGTATAAAACTTCTCTCATCACCTATTTTCCGTGTAAGATAGAGAAGTATTCTAGCTTTGGCTAACCTAAGATCATTTGTGCAGGAATAATATAAAGATTACCCTGAAAATTTGAAACGAAAATACCTTATTAACAAACACTACGCAGTGTTCAGTGCTGATCAACAGCTATAAACATCTATGTGAAGGGGTTCTTACTGGCTGCTTTCTGAACTTTATGAAAGTCTACAAACAAAATCAGAACTTCTCTTCAAACACCAAATACAAGTTAGTAATCAAACTTCTTAAATCCAGAATGAACAAAAATGCCCACAGTTTATAGAGTGCAATTATTATACCATAATAATATATGGAGAAAACTGAACACATTTTAAAAAACTGACTGCTATATAAGCATAAAGTAGTCACACTATGAAGAAAAGTTGGAATCCCATGTATAATTTTCTATATGTATGTATGTGTGTATGTGTCTGTGTGCGTTCATTTATTTTATTACATGGTAATAAATCTTTTTCTAAAATGTTTATTTTGGAGAGGGGGAGAGGTTGAGGGAAAGGAAATTCCATTAAATGGTAAACCTATCAGTAATTAGAAATAATATTTTATCTTCAAAAATAATCTTAAGGCCTCTAAGAACACTTATAATCCACAAAAGAAATGACTGTCCCCATTTAAAATTCTAGAAAAGTTTGTTTGGTAACACCTGTAGCTGTTCCCTATTTCAAAACAACAAATACTATGTGAAATGCTCTATGATAGGAAAAAATAACTTACATACAATCTTGTTCTCTTCAACTGGAAAAAATATATATAATGCTGCTAATAAAAACATTTGCTCCCTTCAAGTACACTAAAAAGAACCAAGTTTAAAGTGGCTCTTTAATCGTCCTTCACCTCTGCTTACGCAAATATATATATTTCCAAGGAAATTTTTCATTGCACTCGTAACAAAATATGAAGAAAGAGAAAGCGAACTCACTTGTGTCTGCTTGGCTTCCCACACTGATGTACCTGTCGTTGCCGGGAAGCGCAGTTTGGTAGTAAGTCGTCTCCTCCCCCTGGGGCGTCTTGGCATTCTTTGCGGTGAGGAACGCCACTGCCAGTTCCAAGTTGCCATTACTGTCCTTCAAATGTCAAGAACAGAACATCAAATATTTTGAAATATTTCTATACATCTTCGCATGATTTATGTAATTTTCTCCATGACTAATACTTAATAGCAAGAATAAATTTCAGGCTTGAAACTAAGTGTTATGATTCTAATTTTGTACTGTAAATTCATTGTAAGCAAAGTATACTACATCAATGTAATTCCTGTTTTATTAATTAAAACTAACATAATGTAAAAATCTATAACTTCTATAACTAATTACTTAGTGATTTTCCATTACTCATATCTGCTTAACAAAAGACAATCACAAACATACTTTTAAACCACTGAAAAAAACTTAAGTGTTTTCTGGAGCTTGCCATATAAAGGAGTAAAAAATGAATATTTGGCCCTGGCTGGTGTAGCTCAGTGGATTGAGCGTGGGCCTGCGAACCATATGATCACAGTTCGATTCCCAGTCAGGGCACATGCCTGGGTTGGAGGCCAGTTCCCAGCAGGGGACTCACGAGAGGCAACTATACATTGATATTTCTCTCCCTCTCTCCTTCCCTCCCACTCTAAAGATAAATAAATAAAATAAAATAAATAAATATTTATAACAGTACTCCTGAAGACAAGGGCATTAAAAGATATCCCTTTTAATATGGATGCTGAATGCATACCTACAAACAATCTTAAGTAAATGTAAAAGTCTTGTCAAAAGAAAACAGCAAAATATTCTGAAGCTTGATAGTAGTATAAGAGACATGCAGAACTCCTAGACAAAACACTCAGTACCAACAAAAGGACAACCCTACCAATTAATAGACACTATAGAAATTTTACCTAGACGCAAAATCTTATCTGGACACGACTTTACTCTAGCATTAGTTTAGAAGAAAGCTGTTGCTAAGAAACTAAGAATTTCTAAAAAATAAATAAATAATGATTTACCCAGTTATAGCTCCACATTCTCTGTACACTTACCAATAAATATACTACTAACTCTATGATAGCTAATTCAAACAACATTAAGAAATACAGATATTAATAATGGAGTTACCTTTGTAACACGACGCCAGAACACATAAAGCGGCGTAGGCTTTAGGAACTTGGCCGTGCATGCGAAGTGCAACACAAAGCCAGAGGAGAGTATTGGGCAGAAATGACATGACAGGGCTTCCACTGTAAGAGGGCTGCTCTGGCTGTGTACTGAGAACAGATTACAGGACGGAAAGGGTAGCAGCAGAGCCCGGTATCGTTTGCTATCATATTAAATACGGGGGGTGACACAAGTAGAAAGATTAGGATGATTCTAAGATATGAGGCCTGAGCGATGGAAAAACGAAGTCCCCAACCCACCCCATCTCCAAGTCTAGTAGCTAGTGAGGAGAGAAAAAAGTCACAGTGCAGTTTGAAAAGCACCCATGTTTTAAAGTTTGTTATTTATCACAATTACTGTAAGATTCTTAAATGAATGATTCATTCAAAATATGGGTATAGTAGCACATTCTATAGCTAGATAAGTAAACTAGCTGTAAAATAATTTGCAATAATAATGGCTGACGTTTATTGAGCACATACTATGTGGCAATAAATGTGCTAAGTGCTTTTCATACACTACCCAGTACAATAACAAACTGAGTGCACCCAGGACTTATACAACCTGAAAGTCACTAACTTTGGAGGGCTAAAACAGATACTAAAAATTAAATGAAAGAGCTGAAATGAATACACTGTGGCTTCTAAAAGGCAACTACTTGTCAGTATAACTGAGTCAAGTCATTATTACACATCATACAAATTTATACTGGGCAACAGTTAAGGTTTAAGCACAGTTTCCCCCCACCCCCTCCCAGCCACTGGTACCTGAAACAAAAGTTAAAAAGAAAAGTAACTACAATCCCATAACTTACCTCAAAGCAAATATGAACAAGAATTAATATAATTCTTTATTCTTATTTAATTAAGCATGTTTAGTTTCCCAAGTTAAAAAAAAAAGTAAATTTCCTAAATTTGCCCCAACAAGGTAACAGGTATAAGACTCACACTCATACAGAATAGGAAAGATGCTTTCTGAAAATACATGCGAGGGGATTAAGTCATATTATCAGAATAAAGAAAACACTGGGAATCATCTCAATGTCAGAATCATAAAAATTGAGGTACGACACTTTTGCTTCCTCTCCAAATACTTACATTGGCTTCACAAAGCCTGCATATTAATAATGCTCTGCACGGTACCGTTTCATCCTTTCTCCAAGGGTAAAAAGCTAAAGCAAAGCTACTGGTAAAAGCAGAAATGAAGTGCGGCACCCTGGAGTCAGTCTGCTTGGTTTGTATTCTAAGCTCCTACATATCCTAGCTGTGTGATCGTGAACAAGTCACTGTAACCTCTGTTTCCTTATCTTTTAAAAGGGGATGAAAATAATACCTACCTCACAGAGTTATTAGGAAAATGTTAGCCACATAAAGTACTCAGAAGAGCACCTGGTACTGTAAGTGCTTAAAGCATGCTAGTTATTATCACTATCATTATGATTATGATTACACTCATCTAAAAAAGAAATTATTTCTAGAAACAAGTGAAGAACTCTGGACTCAGAAATCAAAAGCTACATAACTAACTTTGCCTCGTGGAGCAATTTCCAAAGGACTGAAACTGTGTTCAGGCTTAATTGACAGAAATGCTTTAAGTTTAAAATGCAATTCTGGTTCTTAAACACCTTTCATGCGCTTGATTTTTTCCAACGCACATATCCCTGTGATCTGACTCATTGGGTACCTCTCTGTGGAAATGGAGACACTGCATAAGATACAACCAAAATGACACAGTTCATTTGTTGCATTCCCTGAAGTGTGATGTTGAATAGTCCCAAGGTACAATAAGCTGAATATTAGCCAATTTATATTTCTCTTTCTTAGAGGAAAAAATATGTAAGCTTCTGACCCTGTACTAATTTTCTGCTTCATCTCCCTCCTCCGCCTTTTCCTGTTTCTCTGCCCCACCCCACCCACCACGCCCATTTAAACTGTAACCCAAGGCTCTTCAGTGAAACCTGCTATCAGCACTGGGGTTCACACTCCTTCATTCTGCATGGAAAGTGTTTCTTGTGAAGAGAGTTATCTGTCACTCCATGATACCTTGGAACATCACGTTGCTGCAAGCTAACATGCTCAAAATTGTAGTATGTTAACTAAGGCTCTTATTTTATAAAAAGTTCTTTCTTGTAGCTCTACTAGAACATGGTATAACTAAAAAGCTCAGCTTTCAAATATAGTAGGCAGTAGAAACGAGGGTTCTTACCTTCAAGGCTTGCTGTAGTATCTGGGTGTCATTAATCCCAGTAATTTCTCTCAGCTGATTTAAAAACGTCTGCTGGTGCTAGAGGAGGGGAAAAAAACAAAATCACTATACACTGAAATCTGAAAATATAAATGACTTTTCTGGGGAGGCAAAAATGCAAAGTAAACTAGAGCAAAAAAGAACTTGACACAGAACAAACTTCATTCTCTCAGGAAGAATGAACCCTTGCTTTGGGAGTCCTATTCCATTGTCCTGTTTCCACCAAAATGGAACTTTCACTTTACCCCCAAGAATAATTCAGCCTTAATGAACTAGGTTTCTGGCCTATTCCTCACAGCCTCATTTATGTTTCCCATGATGAAATGGAGTGATTTGCACGATGGCTAAGCCCAAGAACTATCATTGGGCTACTTCAATAGGGGATGGGACTACTGATTGACATCAGGCGGTTCTGGTCACTTCTCCCTGTCTCTTGGGTCAGCTGGCATGCAAGCAGCTGAAATATTTGAAAAAGAAATGCTTTTGGCAAGCCACACACTAGGTGGGTTTATTACCATCATGAGGATCCTAAGATGTATTTGTGTAAAAGGAAAACCACCTCATCCTCTAATCTGTCATAACGGATCCTAAATAGAAGTGATCATTTGCCCAAATTTGCTTTGCACTTGTTTATACTGTGTTGGTCTATGAGTACGTAGTAATTACTCTATTGGAGGGAAAAAGTGGTGGGCGGATAGGCTCCCACAATCACATCCTTCCATAAACTACTAGCCCAATTAAGAGCCATGTTCCTCCCTACATCTCCATATTTCCTAAAAGAAGTTCCCAAGACAGCATAGACAGCATCATGAAATAAAGTCAGCCCAGTGGATAGGATATGAAAAATGAGGCATCACTAAATTAAAGGATCTGATAAAATCTTTCTTGAAAATGTTTTCTTGAAAATGATAATCTCAGTAATAATTCAGTCAAGAATCATCAGTGGATGTCAAAACCACTGGGTGAAAGTTTAATGAGAAACAGGATAATCAGACAGTTTCAAACTCTCTTCCTGGGAATTATAAGGGGAGAAAGAGTAACTGATAGGAGAAATCTGATGGAAACCTCTCTGCCAAGTGATCACAGTTAATATTACCAGCAATGGGTTAAGATAATAGTATACGCCTCCTGATATATAATATGATACACCAAGAAGACAATCATCTGTGGTATTCCTGCCAAAAAATGCACAAATTGAATCTGACCTTGAGGAAGCATCAGACAAATCCAAACTGAGGGACCTGTATCTTCAAAATGTCTGTCTCATGAAAGACGAAGGATGAGGCTCCAGATTAAAGGGGACCAAAAAGGCATGGCAACCAAAAGTTCTGTGAGAGACCAGACCACTTCTCATATTAAACCATTCAGGGTATTATTGGGAGAATTGGAGAAATATGAATATGGGCTGCTTAATAACAATATTGTATTAATATTAAATTCCTGAGCTTGATAACTGTACTATCCTAAATACACCCTGAAGTATTTAAGCAGTAAAGGGGCATGTGACTTACTCTCAAATGGTTCAGAAAGAAATGTTATGAAAGTTCTTTATAATAATTTTGCAATTTCAAATTTAAAATTACTTAAGAGCTTTAAAAGTTTGTGCATGCAGATTTTATTGATGTCAGAATTGCAAAATGTGCATTTCAAAACATGCTTGACAATTTAAATATGTGTAATGCGTATATATTCAGATGAAGAGTCCTAAACAAATTTCAAAATTAAAATATCAAAGAAATTTTAAAGTCTAATTTGAGATACCCTAGGCTAAAAGTGTGTTAAAGAAACCACCTGTACATGTTAGAAATTATATTCAGCTACATGCAACACTGTTCCGACAAACAGCAGCTTCACCAGACTGCAATGCCTTTTCTCCCTAACACAAATAGGCTAGAGGTGAGCAGTGCATATCTGATAAGGACATCCTATACGACATCAAAAATCTGGGCTCCTCCCATCTCCCCACGAAACGTTCTTACACATGACAGTCATCAAATGCCTGTCACTCTACGTTGCCTCCTCCAGCATTCTGTCCAAGTTTTAGATAATATGAAGGAAAGCATAAAGGACAACAGGTGTCTGAGAAATGATTCTGCCTTCTTTAACAACCCCATTTATTCAAATAACTTCCATGTAGTCTCATTGAGCAAAACAAAGTCACATGGCCAGTCATAGTTGTAAAGGAGGTTAGCAGATGTACTTTTTCAGCTAGGCAAAAATCTGCTCTAAAAATGAAATAGGGCTCTGTTTATAAGCAAAAAAAATGTATATTTTATCTGCCATGTATATAGATCTGCCATGCCATCGATTAATTTTCCTGTCTATAAAATTCTGAAAGCCAAGGGAACTAAGATTATCAAACAATACATATACAATATAGAACACAAACAAAGTTAGGGTTAGAATGTCATGAAGAATCAAAATTGTTGAAGAATTAAAATACCAGATGTACAAAGCTGAAATATAAAAAAAAATTAAATTCTCTTTAAACCTGTTAACTTTTCCACTTTCATTCAAAAAATTACCAATAACTAGCAATGGAACCATGACTCTCAATATCCAACATTCCAAATTAAGATGTATAAAAATATTACAGAAATTCTCCATATCTAATTCAATGTTTTGTTTTAGTAATAATAAAATACTTAAAGGATATTAAACTTGGTTTTAAATCTCACCACCACCAGCACTCCAAATTCCATTTTTTGCACCAGGTATTATTTTTCTCAACTGCAAATTACTCAATCATCGGTCAGGGAAAGGCTGTTGAATAACTCCCCCAAATTAGTCATTTGTACAAATGTTGCTGGCTCTTATATATAATGCTGGAAACATAGAAACCACAAATGTTCTTCCACTAAAGAAGAGATTCTAAACTTCGATGTGCATAAGAATGATCTGATGAGTTTTTAATAATGAAGGTTACCAGACCCCACTCCCCAGAGATTCTGTCAATAAGCATCTCAAATGATTTTGATACAGATGGACCTACAGTACAGATGTACTGAGAAGTACAGTCTGAGTAAGAAAATACAGTGTATTATAAAATCATATTAAGCTGGAGTGATGGAATTCAAAATAGTACATGAAGTTTGTCTAGAAAAAGTCAAGCCATTGTTAACATAGTAAGAACTGTTTGTGCTACATTGATGTAACCTGGTGGCCACGGAAAGTGGACTGGAATGTGCATGTGTGAACAGTGGTGACTTCACTGTACTAGTCAATGGTGGCGGTAGACTCTGGTGAGTTGAGCATGTGTACTGTGTGGCCACATTCTAAAATGACTGAAACAGCAGAGCAACAAATCTGCACCAAATTTTGCATTAAGCTTGAACATTCCTTTGTGGAAAGTATTCAGATAGCTCAGAAGGCCGTAGCTATGGGCACTTGGTGACTGGCAGCTTCATCATGACAAAGCACCTACTCACACATCATGTCTCATGCAGGGTTTTTGGCAAAACAAATCACACAGGTGACTCAACCCCCCTCCAACCCAGATTTGGTGCCCAGCAACTTCTGGCTTTTCCCAAAACTAAAATCACCTTTGAAAGGGAAGAGATTTCAGACCATCAATGAGATTCAGAAAAATACAATGGGGCAGCTGATAGTGACTGGGAGAACTGTGTGAGGTCCCAAGGTGCCTACTTTGAAGGGGACTGAGGCATAACTGTCCCATGTACAATGTTTCCTGTATCTTGTATCTTCTTCAATGAATGTCTCTATTTTTCACATTGCCTGGCTGGACAGTTTCTGGACAGAGCTCATATATACAAATTAACAAGGTATAATATAATGTAAACACAAATATAAAGCCCTGAAAAGATTACAGAGCCTATGTTTGACTTCTAATTCTTCTCCCATCTCTGTAACCACCACACCTTTTGCCATCTTCACTTCCTCCCATGAGAGACAGGCTGTGTTACCTTGCTGCACTGAGGGTGGGCTTGCCATGTGACACAGTCTGACCAATGACATATTAGCAGACAGCATGGAGGAGACATGAAATGAACTTGCACGGCTGGGCTGGCCCTCTTGAACTTCTGCAACTTCCTAAAAAGAACATGACCTGGGTAGCCCAGTTGCCCCAGAAGAATGAGATACACGTGGAGAAGAGCCATGCAACCAGCCTGCAAATCTGTGAACGTGGTGATCACATGTTGGTATGTCACTAAATTTTGGAGTGGCTATTATAGTGATTGTTGACTGATACAGAGTGCAATAAGAATACTGAGTATTTTATAAGAAAAGCAACCTCTGTGAGATGTGTTCATGGTTTGGTGTTTTGTTTATCTTTCACAACAAAACCAGCTAAATATCCTAGAAAAAAACCCAGGCATAGCTCTAGCATGGTTCATGATCTCATGAATTTTGCCTGAAAATAAAACAATGAAGAGAAAAGCACTGGGGTGGAGAAGAAGGCTAAGTGAAAAACAGAAAAAGTGAGAGAAGTTTCTTAACTAAATCAGCAAGAAATGGGAAAGAGATAAAAAAATTTAGTTTATGGTATGGTCCTTTGTCAAGTTTCCCCCTTTATTACGGGCATCTCCCAGCTGAGCTTCTTCTGTCTTTGAAAACCTGCACCTTAATTCCTTGCAATTATGTTTTTGTGTGCTTAAGACCCTAGTCTTCCTTTCAAGACTTGGACCTCTCTAATTACCAAACGCCCTGATCCTCAACTAAAAAAGCCCTGCCTATGGTTCTCTCCTCCTTGACTAGAAATTTTGGATCCAAGGTAGACCCAACCACTTCCATTTCTAGAGCTTCTTTTCTGACCTCCAAGAGGTCAGCAGGTATAAACTCCTTATGTACTAACACATGAGGTGGGTGCAACCTGTCACACTGCTGGACCAAGGATGTCAAGACGTAACATTCAAAGAGTCAGTGGCTTGCAAAACCCACAAAAATCAATAAGCAAAGAAGCTAAGTCTACATACAGGCCTTCAAGTTCCTTCCTTAATGTTATTTTTACTGCCTGATGACATCCTTAAGTGCCTACTATGTGTAAAATATAGCACTATGCACCACAGGGAAAAGGAGGCATTAATAAATTTAACATAAATTAAGGATTAGAGTGTCTCACAGAAATTATTTTCCTTTCCAGTTAATGCTACCTAACGCTTGTTCTGTTTTAAATATATGTCAGTAAAGATCACAACGTATTTAACATTGGTATAATTTTTTGAGATGGCAAAAAATGATCACTGGCTTAAGCCAAGGAAAGACAGCATTTAATATGCTCTTGCTGGATGCCAAACACTGTATTAGCGCTTTCAGTATATAATCTCATGTAATATGTGCTCACATTCACTTGTACATACCCTCTAGGAAGTTACTCTCATTTTGTAGCTAACTGAGACTCAAGAGATTAAGTACAGAGTCAGGAATAAAAATAGGTTTTTCAAATTCCACAGCCTACATCCTTTCCATATTTGTTCTTTTCCATATCCGATTTTGGAGATTAAAGATTCAGTGGAAAAAAGAAAACTCAGCCTCAAATTCCACTCCTCTATTGATGTAAAATGCTTACTTAATGGTACAAAAAAAAGTGATGCACCACTGACTACAAGGCAGAAAAGCTTTCTGAGTTAAAGGGTGAATGACTCATAAGTCAGTCATTGGTTCTTCTAACTGAATTTCCGAATATAAATAAAACTGGGTTTAGTGCAGAGACAAAGAAAGTCAAGGATTTCCATCTTCAGGGGAAAAAAGGCAACTTGTACAGTGACCTCTAAGAAAGAGTTCAAATTTCCAAGGCAGGAGAAAACAGCCCAATTTCACAGAAAATTCAAAGACATTCTGAAACTTCAGAATTACATGTACTAAAGCACTGCAAGGCACTTAGTGACAAACATTTCAACGTTACCTATGCAATGCACTGCTGCCATTAAGGTATGCAACCAGGCAGACATGTGAACACTTTCTGTATCTACCTGATAACACTAAACTGCCCTGCTTCACGTTATCTCTGACCGTGACAAGAAATCCCCCAACTTCACTGACAGATCATTTTAAGTACATAATATGTCCCTCAGGTAGCTCTTTGTAAGTCCCAAGTCTGCCTCTAACCAGCTATACAATCAAAACAACAACAAAAACAACCAAAGAAACAAACCCCAAACCACACAAAAAAAACAAGAACTTGTGTTTCCTGGACCCGATGCTTTTTTTAAATCTATAATTTATGAGGGACAACGCAACTTTAATTTCCCTTCACTTGTAACACTCTATGACCTGTCTGAGTTTTGCTAAGTATAATCCTCATGGCTTAAAGGCTCCTTTGAGGCCACAGCTATCTCTGGCCTCACCTTGTCTTCCTCTTCCCTCTAGCCTTCATTCTCAGTCTAAAAAATACCATTCTGCTTTCTAATTCAAAGCATTTTTTGGTTTGGGGGCCTTTTTTGGTGTATTCAGCTGCCTTCCCTTAAAGTTAGAGATTCTCCTGGCACCACAGATTTTAATAATACACTATGGTTACTGACCAGGCAATAATTCCAAAGAGAGCACAGACTGTTTCGCTCACTGATGCATCCCTGGTAAGTGGTACAGTGTCTGGCATGTGACAGGCTCTCAGCAGGACTGAAAAATGAACAGAGCGGAGTTTGCAGAGGTGAACTGGAGTTAAGTCAGATCACAAAGCTTGGACTCACCCACAGGGAAAAGGTACTAACTAATGACTGTAGATGTGAACAGTAGCATACATAAATCAAGCCCACCTAACTAATAAGCAAACTTTCTATAGTAGAGAAAATACTCTGTAGTATTACTATATTTTCTCTACTATAGAGAAAACTCAAAATGATTAAGAGAAGCCTTCAGTCTGTGGCAGTGGAAAATACAAGATACCCTAACCATACATGGGATTACTGGGGTGTCAAACTCATTTTCACCGAGGGCCTCATCAGCTTCACAGCTGCGTTCAAAGGGCCAAATGTAATTTTAGGACTGTATAAATGTAACTACTCCTTACCAGCTAAGCGAGAGCTAGGCGCTGCGGCCGGGTAGCAACAAGGTAGAGGGCCTGTGTGAGCCACCTGTGCTCTACACTCCCCTACATCGACCTAGAACTTCACAGGCTGCATTTCCTAGTTCTGTTCCTATCAATACCGCCTCAAGTTGAATATACAGCATGTAGAGTATTGTTGAAATTCCCAAATACAAATAATCTACACAGTAATCCCACGAATGGCTGGGGTATCTTGTGTTTTCCACTGCCACAGACTCGAGGCTTATTGTAATCATTTTGAGTTAACAGCATTTTAAGTACTATATTCACCACATGCCTCTGTGGGTATATAAATCTGAAGGTATGCTTTTTCATTCTTCACTAGTTACAATTAGGCTTAGAAGTGTCAGGAATTCTAAATTTAAAAAGTTCTTTTCTATCTTTGCATAGAATCCCAGAGCAACATTCTTAAGCTTTTGCATAATTAAAAAAATTAATGAGATACTTTATGGGAAACAAGTAGCAAAAAACAATGAATGTAGTTGGTCCTCAACAAATATTTGTTTCTATCCTTCCTCACCTCACAGTTCATACACTCACCCCTCAACCAACCTAACAGCTGGGTGATGTCCACACCCCCAATGATCCCCCATCCCTATTAACTAACAGATAAAAAATAAATGTATCATAAGAAACTCTAAATGCTGTTTTCCCCAAAAATATTGTTCCACAACACTATAAGTTCTCACAGAATTAAATATATTTCCAGGCCAAATAAGAACCCAACACCATGAAACATGGTTTCTATGGGAACATGCATCTTGAGTTCCGAAAATCCAACTTGCAAAAAAAATCTTTTGGAAAGTGTGTTTTTTAAATTAGAGTGCTATATTCTGCAAAACACATGGTTAAAACAAAACTTTTGTGAATCACCCTGGCTGGTGTGTCTCAGTCAGTTGGAGTGTCGTCCTGTACACTGAAAAGTTGTGGGTTCAATTCCCAGTCAGGACACATACCTAGGTTGTGAGTTCGATCCCTGGTTGGGGCGTGTAGTAAGGGAAGCAATCAACTGATGTCTCTCTCTCACATCGATGTCTCTCTCTCTCTCCCTTCCTCTCTCTCTAAAAATCAATAAATATATATTTTTTAAAACTTGTGAATCAAACCATATCTTTATGTATTTAACTTGTTTTGATGCTAATAATCTAATTCCTAATATAGTTCTCTATTGTCCAATTAAATTTTTATGTATCTCTAGTTTCCTTACATAAAATTTCAGAATTCACTTGCAGGCCAAAAATAAAATCCCTTATATTAATAAGACAATATAAACATGCTCTAAGTAGATCTTTCAAACTAGAATACTGTATAATTCCTAGCAGCTGTATGTATCACAAACAATTACTAAAAACCAATAAATGCAGTTGTTGGTCATACTAATTACACATACATAATATACCATACTGACTATTAGAAACTCCATTCATCTAGATGTCATGCTAGGTTTAATTAATGAATGAATTAATTAATTTATACTCACAAGAGGACATGTTTATTGATTTTAGAGAGGAAAGGAAGGAGGGAGAGAAACACACACGTGAGAGAGAAAACACTGATTGGCTGCCTGTCAAACGCACCCCGACCGGACACCAAACCATCTACGTGAAGGCCTAATCCAGCCAAAACTGATCTATAATGATAAAAATCAGATCAGTGGTTATCTGGAATAGCGAGTGTGCAGATGCCAAATGGAAAGGGTGGCATATTATCTTCTGGAGTGACAGAAATAGTCTACAATGACAAAAGTCATCTGACTATAAACTTTTACATGGGTGTTTTCTTTTTTTGGTAAATTATATCACAGTAACATTAACTTCAAAAAGTCAAAATAGCAGCTAGTGGGATATGGAAGGGAGGGACAGTGTAGGTGAGGCACTATGGAAACGTCTAGAACAATAAGATATTCTATTTCATGTCCAAGTGGTACAAAGGATAGTAACTTTACTGTATTTCTCTAAAGTACATTTAAGTTTTCACGTGCTGCACATACATAAAAAAAACTCTCAGAAATGATTCATACACATAAACATCAGAAGACAAGACAGAAAGATGGAGAAGTGGCTGATGAACAAGCTATGCCCACCTCCTACCCCTGTCCGATGCCTGAGTGAAAACTTCCACAAGAGTCAGTTGGACCCGAAGAGAAAAGTACATGCAAGTATTAAAATTTAAATACCACAATAACCTTTAGTTCTTTACAAGCAGAACCCTCTCTATAACATGTGTTCCTACAGCTAACTCATGTAAATACTTCAGAAGTACATTAGGTTCTAAAGTATGGAACTGTCCTTTAAAATCAGCAATTAAACAATACCCACTATCATCACTTCTAATCAACACTTATTAGTGGTCTTACCTACTACAACAAGAAAAAATATAATTACAGGCATAAAAATTGTAAGTAAATGAATAAAACCATCACAACTTATACATACAACCTTTTGTGTACAAAGTCCAAAATTATCACTGGAAAAGTATTAAAACAGAAAAACTTAGCAAGGTGGCTGGATATTAGGTTAATGTACAAGTCATCTGCATTTGTATACAACGGTAACAAATAACAAATATTCTAAATCGCCACATATAATTGTTATCAGAAATTATCAACTATTTAGAAAAATTAATGTATAGGAATTATACAGTTAGCCCTGGCTGGTGTGGTTCAGTGGATGGAGCATCAGCCTGTGAACCAAAGAGCTGCCGGTTCAATTCCCAGTCAAGGTATATGCCTGGTTTGCAGGCCAGGTTGCCAGTAGGGGGCACAAAAGAGGCAACCACACATTGATGTTTCTCTTCCTCTCTCCTTTCCTTCCTTTCCCTCTAAAAATAAATAAATAAAGTCTTAGGAAAAAAAGAATTATACAGTTAAAATTATAAACTAAGTAAGAGATATGAAAGAAGACAATAAAAAGATATACCCTAAATAAAAAAGTATACCCTGTTCATGGAGAGACTCAGTATCAGAATGGTGTTACTAATGACAAATTAGTCTATGGATTCAAGGGAATTAATAAATAACTAGAGCAAGGGTTTCTTAAAGAAAGTAGTATGGTTATTGTAAACTTTCTAAGGAAGAATGAAATGCCACAACCCATTGGAAGGAAAGAAGCAAACTTACTTCACTAGTACTCAAGATTATTACGAAGCTAGAGCAATGAAGACAGGATGGTATTCATGGAGTGAATGATGGAACAAGATAGCACAGGGGGGAAAAGCGTTTTACATAATGTTTTCATGTATGACAGAGATGGCATGTCAGTTCAGTTGGAGAGAGCATTTAACTTTTCAATAAGGTAAGACTAATAACAAAAAAATCATATATACATATACTAAAGAATAATGAGATCCCTATCTCATACCATGTACAAAAATTAAAAGCAGATGAAATAAGGCCGAAATGTTGCAAATATAACTCTAAAAACGGTTAATAGAAAAGACAGATGAATATTTTTTTGATATCAAGGTAGGAAAAAGTTCCTAATTTTAAAGAACTAAAATTAAAAGCATACTTTCGGGAATTCATTGAGATGTAATACAAAGGAAATCAAAGGGAGAGGGAACACAGGATTAAAAATGAATACCATCTCTTATGAAAACAGAGAGGTGGGATGAGGGGCCATATGGTTACACATAAGTCACTCTCTAAGTTCTAGCTTTTAAGCAGTGGGTTTGTGTATGCTTATTATTGAAAACTAATAAGTAATTTCATAAATGAAAACATTTGCATATACAGCTGATCATGAACCAATGTTTGTGATTAATTTCATTCTGTGCACTTCAGGACCAAGTAACATGTATACTATTTACACAAACCATCCAACACTGTGTGACCACCTAGGAGGTAGTAAACATAGCATTGGCATTGCAGAAACAATGACCTAGACAATCAAATGAAAAAGTTATCTTAACGCATAGGACAAAAAGAGAGAGAAAGAATGATAAAGTTTGCAGTGAGAGATAAATGGTATCTAATATTCAAATAATGTAGTTACAGAAGGAGTAAAAAGGAAAGTAGAAGCAATAATTTAAAAATATCTTTTTATTGAAAAGAACACTAAAATCTTCATATCAAAAAACCTAGGCAGGACTGTTAAAAAGACACACACACAAAATTTAAAAAGTAACATCAGCCCTGGTTTTTGCGGCTTGGTGGACTTAGTGCTGGCCAGTGAACCAAAGGGTTGCCAGTTTGATTCCCAGTCAGGTCACATGCTTGGGTTGCGAGCCAGGTTCCCCAGTAGGAGGTGTGAGAGAGGCAACCATACATTGATGTTTCTCTCCCTCCCTCCCTTCCTCTCTGTCTAAATATAAATAAATAAAATCTTTTTTAAAAAAGTAACATCAAACTATTATACTATACAGAAAAATAAAGTTAAAAGTAAAAGTAAATACCTAATTGTTAATCTAATTTTTAAAAAACTAACTTCTAACACGTCTGCAACACGATTAATTAATATTTTTGATATAGGGTATACCTTGAGAAATTTAAAAGGCTATCACTTAGAATTATAACTCCACAGTATCCACAGTATCCCAATAAAACCAGGAATGCTGTAAATAAAAAGTATGCTAAAAAGTCGTATCTTATTGGTGACCAAAGGAAGAACTCATTTTACTTTTCAACATTCAGAAAAATGTGTGCTTGGATATATTTGTTTAAAATTAAAAGAGCAGAAATGAGAAAGATTTCTAAATCAGTACAGGATATGGAGGCAAGGGCTGGGAAGATGAAACAAGGAAAGCTTGATCACTCCCCCAAAACTGAGTGGGAGAAACATGACTAGTGTATGGAAACCCAGATGACAATAAAAATTAAATGTATCAGTCATCACCATATATGTAAATGATAAAATCCTACTGAAGACCAATCCATACATAAGTTTGGATTAGATCCATTAGAAATACAAAGAGAATTTGATGAAATTACATTAAAAGACATCAACATCTCTCTGAATTTAAGAAATAAAGAATAAGACATTAAATATTCAAATCACACTATAAGTATTCATTTAATATACCCAGAATTCTGTAACTTAAAAAAAATACACATCCATTTCATGTGCTCATTAAAACCTCAGGTACTTAGTCATAAGAACATCCCAATAGATTTCTAAAACTATTGCAAATCGTGTTCTCTAAACAATGCATCAAAACCAAAAATCAATAATTTTTAAAATGCAACAACCTAGAAAGTAAAAAAATCTTTTAAATAAGGTAAAAATCAAAACAAAATCAGATGAAAATCCACAGCCCAAAATGCTTTTCATTATTAAACATGATTGAAAACTCACTAAAGGTGAACTGAAGTATAAAAAGAGCAACCACTAGATTGACTAGAAAGGTGGAATAATTAAAGACAAAAGAAAAAATTTTAAGTTAGAAAACAAACAAAAGTTATATATGAAACGGCTGGATTTTGAATGCCCAAGAAAACAGATCAACATCTATCTAGCAAAGAAAGCAACATAAACAAGAAAAAGAAAGGGATCTACCTACCTATATGGAGATTTAAAAGGAAATACCAGACTAATACATATGAGAATCTAAGTGAAATAAAATCTGAATCTATAAAACATTCTTAAACTCAACCTGGAAGAGGTAGAAGACCTATAAGATAATAAAAATTTGGAAAGCTTACCTAAAACTTGTAAGCAAAATGGTCATCTTGATGTAGTTATATTCATCAAACCTTCAAAGTAACAAGCACTTATGTTGAATGACAAAAATTTATTTAACACCACCAATTTTGAATGGCTTAACCTAATCCTACAGTAAACAATTCCAAAAGCACAGAAAAACAAAAAGAGCATCCTAATGATTTTATGACCTAACCTTACCTTGGAAGCCCATACGCACAAAAGCAAACCATGCAACCATCTCATTTAAGAATACTGATACAAAGCTCTAGATCAAAATTTTGTACAATGAATTCAGAGATATCATGACTAAAGGAGTTCATTATCAGAAGGCCATACAGCACAATGGTAAAGGACAGGTGTTCCTGAGCCTCACAGCCCTGAGTTTAAACCTCACTCTCGACACACGAACAACGAAATGTCGCTCTAGTTCTTCTCTCATACCATTTCCTCAACCATAACATGTAAGGGAAAATAAAGACAGTGCTCATCTAATAAGCTGGTTGGGAAGATTAAGAAAAAAACAAAGTTTAAAAAACAGCATAATTCCTTATATGGTATATAGTAAATATTTCATGTTATGTATTACAACATTCTTATTGAATACCATATCAGTTGTTGCAAAAAAAAAAGACATTTGATAGAGTCAACATCCTAAATCTGATTCCAAAACATTTAAAAAACTTGGAACTACAAGGAAATTTTCATGTCATAATGAAACAAGACATAAGAGAAACTAACATCAATTTTAGTAGTATTCTGTAATCTTAGCTAAAGCAATGAAATAGTAAGTGAAAAAGGTATGAATACTGAAAAGATGTCAAAATAATTATTTGCAAATGATAAGTAATGTAAATATAGAATACTAAGAAAATCAATCAAATATTTATTAGAACTGATGAAAATTCATAAAGGAAGCTAGATACAAGTTTAGTATACAAATCAAAATTAGGTGAGAAAGGAAGGAAATAAGAAGAAAATAAATAGCTAGATCCTTAGTTCTCGGCCCAAACCAAGTCTTATACTAATAAGAAGATACTAATAACAATATAAGCAACTATTTAGTGTTAAAGAATGTTCATTGTATGTAATGTTTACATTGATTTATTATGATTTATATTGATTTTCTGTCCAGAAAAATCCAATCACTGTTAATATAACAAGGACAGTTTGCACAACTTCAGTGTAACCTGGCAGCCAACAAGAGTGGACTGGAATGTGCATATGTGAACAATGATGACTTCAATATACTAGTCAGTGGGGAAAGTAGACTATGGTGAGTGAGCATGTGTATTGTGTGGCCATTGCATTCAAAATGCAATGAATCTGTATCAAATTTTGTGTTAAGCTTGAACATTCCTGTGTGGAAACTATTCAGATGATTCAGAAGGCTGCAAATAAGACAACTGGTGATTGGCAGCTTCATCACAACGCACCTGCTCACACATCACCTCTCTTGCAGTTTTTTGGTGAAAGATCAAATCACCTAGGTGATTCAGCCCCAATTCAGCCCAGGTTTGGCACCCTGCAACTTCTGGCTTTTTCCAAAACTAAAAGTCACCTTTGAAAGGGAAGAGATTTCACACTGTTGGCGAGATTCAGAAAAATACAACAGACAGCTGATGGCAACTGGGAGAACTGTGTGAGATCCCAGCGTGCCTACTTTGAGGGAGACTGAGGCAGCATTGTCCTGTGTACAATGTTTCTTGTATCTTCTTTAATAAATGTCTCTTTTTCATATTACAGGACTGGAGAGAACTTGTATAATGTTAACTGTCCCTTGAAATGCTGTATTGTATTTTTATAACTTTAGATGATACCTAAAATTAGAAAATACTACATTAATTTATCTAAGAAACTTACTCTGAATCCAGTTTGTACTGTTTCTTAAAATGTGTTTTAACACTTAATTAATCTGTGACATTCTTCCCACTTAACTCCCACAGTAATTAACTGAATGTTGATCCATAAAATTCCTTCTTCCTCTATCCTCTAGTTTTTAATCCTGCCTATCTTAAATAAATGCATGCTTATATCCACTAAACATTCAGATCTTAAAAAGTTGCTCATGTCTAATCATACTAACTATGAGGCTTTAAATGATGATTCAGAGGCATTCAATGATTTATTTGCCCACGGTCAATTTGCCCAAGTTCCAACAGTTGTCCTGTTGGAACTTCCACTATTTCTCAGTGATGTTAAATCTTGAGATTCAGAGGGAACTAAAATAAGTACTGCAGTTGCATCCCTGTTAGAAAACATTCACTCATTATTTCATCACCAAATATTTATTGAAACCTACCATGTGCAAGGAACTGTTATAAGCCCAATGGTGAAACAAAACAGCCAAAATACCTGCCCTTATGAACCTTACATTTTACTCAACTCAGAAATATGCACTTAAAGTAAATAGTATCCAGCTCACTTCACTCTATAAATTAATTAGGTTCCTGGGAGGAAGCCTTCTATTGCTGCCCTAAAAAATCCTCACCTGGGACCTGAATCTATGTATCAAATTTCTGAGATCTAAGGATCCTACGCTTAGAAAAATAACAAGCATAAAGGCTGAAGATACATGTTCAAGAGCAAATGGCAGGATTTAACTGTATCTGAACAGCCTCCAACTCCACCTCACCTGTATCTGCTAAACCTCAGACAAGCAGCTCTCTGCAGTTGTACTACTTCTTATAACTCAGTCATAGCCAAACTTCAGCATGAAGCAAAGAACACATCGGAGGGATAGACAGCCCCTTGAGTTATATTATATTGTGACAAGCTACCCTGTAGATAAACGAAAGACCTCTGAAAGTTTTGTGCTGTGCTATCACTACTTATAATATCCTCTGGAAGGAAAAAAAAGGAATCTTGTAAATATAGGGAAGTGTTCCAACCACCAAAATATAGCTATTTACATAAAACTAATGTTATACAAGCACATACACACATACAATTTTTTGAGAGCAGAAAAGAGGCTGAAATTTTGGTTATGCACTATGCAATAGACAACTCTCGTTTTACTAGTAATTCATAAAATTTGAAGTGAACACAAAGAGTTTCACTTTTGTTTCTTCTAAAGTATGAACTTCACTTCCTAGTTACTGGCTTGAAGTCCACTTCCTAGTTACCAGCTTGGTGAGTTTAAATCTATCAATTTATCTGAAGTACGTGGTATAAAGTATTTACACCCATATGAATATTTTTAAAAATACCGCTAATATAACAGAATAATAGTATATTAATACAGAGTAAACAAATACATTAAGTATTTCTTTTAAAAAGTACAACTACCATGATGAAAGTACAAAAATAATATTGCTCTAAAAAATTTCCCAATATCAATGAAATAATCTGACATACACTAAAAATAGCATCATAATGGTAATACTTTAAATTAACTACTACGCTCTTTATGTAAGGAGAGGATTAATTAAACTAGAAAATTGGACTTAATGGCCAAGATCACTTTCGGGAATTTAATTCTTAATCCTGTAAGTTTATGTATAAACGTCTGAACTAGGCAGATCTGTATTAACTGATTCTATGCTAAAGGAATACTTTGGTCAAAATCAATGAAAAAACTCACAAACATTTTGCCATTGTTCAAATTTAAGAAGTGTAAAAAAAATATTTGGTACATTTCCCATTTTGAAATAGGCTATAATGTCCAATGCTGAAAAGTACTATAAACAAAAAGATACCAAACTTATTAAATAAAATTTAGTATACAGGACCACAAAATCCTGTTCTAAGTATTAACACTTTATAATGTACTAACTAAAACATCAAAACTTAAATTTAAGATACTCTAAAACAGAGTAGATGGGATTAGGAGATAAACTGTTCTAAACTCCAATTATTAAATCTAGAATTATTTCACTGTAAATAAACAGCAGTCCGCAATAACCTTCTAAATTTATCAGTAGCCGTTAACTATAACACACAAGAGTTACAAGAGAACTATCCCAAAGGGCCTAAAATAATGCACACTGCCCTTTCTGTCCAAAATTTCTGAGCATCTTCAAATTACCTAAAGTACTACCGTAAAACTCTAAAAATAATCTCAAATCAAAAACTTAACGGTCTGTGAACATACACGTAGACCATTTTAGGACAGCAGGCCTTATTCTACAACCAAGCTCAGGTATGCCAAAACTAGAACAGGGTGGGGCATGCATGTTCACCGAGATAAGCCGCACACCACTTTGCTCACAGTAACCCGTCGATCTCCCTCCCCAATTCCAACACTACGGCAATGTTTTCATCGTACCCAAAATGCTTCTCACACTAATGACCAAAAAAAAAAAAAATTAAATCATAGCCAACTACTCTTCAGGATAGATACAGATTAAGCCACGACAGTGCACTTGAGATTCTGAAAACAAAATCTAGAATGAAAAGAGCGTCTCTCACTACTGACTATATAACATCTGAAGCTTCACAGATTGTTCTAAGTGACCATTAGAATGTGTGCCTGAGGCCAGAGTAAAGGGTGAAAGATGGAACAAGGTCAAACTTAGGGGACAAAAGATTCCTGGAGTAAATATGGACAGGAAGGTTTCCTTTCTTAAGGGGCATTTCCTGTATTAAGAAACGGAAAGAGGAAAGGGAAATAACCAAATCCCTGTACATATAGAGTCCACCTGGTAAACATACCTGCCCCGCCCGCCAGGCAAGCGATTCAGTTCCGGAGACCCTTTTGCAAATAGCAGGCCTGGAATGGTCCTACCTTCGAAATACAAACTGTGCTCAGAAGGAATGACAACTGGTCTTTCTTTTTCTTCTTTTTTTTTTTTTTTTTTTTAGGACAAGTTTAAGAAGCCAGACAGAGAAGTGCAGAAATGTGAGGGTCGCTCTCAATAAATACCAGCCAGCGTTACCAAAAAAAAAAAAAAAAAAAAAAAAATCGGCAAGAAGGAAGTGGATCGAAACCCACTAACTACACCCTGCTTCCACAAACAGCTCAGCACTAGGAGCGACGCCCCCAAAGGCGACGGGCAGGGTCAGTAGGTGGAAGGAGCCCGGGGCAACCGAGGCCCGATCGGCGGCGGGGGGAGGCCGAGCAGCAGCCGGCCCCGGCGGGTGTTAGCCGCACGTCGGAAGGAGGGGCGGCACAGGACCACGCCGGCTGGTAGACTCGCCTCACCTTCTGTGCCGCGCTCTGCTGCAGCACATTCTGCTCCACGGTCATGGCCCCCGCTGCGCTGGCGGCGACACAAGCAGCTGCGTCCGGCTCCTCAAGCCTCCGCGGGCCCCGGCTGCCACGCTCTGCCGAGCTCCAAAGAGCAGCGGGGACGGCGGGGGAGGACAGCGCCCCCGCCAGCCAGGCGCGAAGGTGATGGCGGCTGGCGTGCGCGGGCACCTCGGGCTGGCGGGGAGGCACGGACAGCGAGGGCCACGGCTGCGACTTCACAACTCCGTTCTGCGCGCCCTCAGCGGTGCCGGTCCGCTGCTACCAGGTCCCTGAGCGGGCAGCGGACTTGGAGACGCAGGAGGGCGCGAGCTAGCAGGGCCGCGGCACGGGCGCGCGCGCGCGCTCCTTTGCTGGCGCTCTAGGGCCACTGCGGGGAAGGGAGAAGGAACGGAGGGAACTGCCGGACGGAATGGCGCTGTCCTCTTCCAGCTCGAGTCCTTCTCCCCTCCCTTCCCCCCGCCACGGTCACCGCCCCAGCCAGGCAACTCCGCCCCCGCAGAGCCCCTCCCGGCGGCTGCACTAACCCTACATTGTGACCCGCGGAGTGGCGGGGCAAGGCGGGGCCGCCTTGGAGTCCCGCCCCCGGACCCGGCTCCTCCCCGCCTGGCGCGAGCACGGAGCTACCGAGTGTAGCGGGGGCGCGCCCCGCGAGCAGGACCTCTGAGCGGCTCCTGCGGCTGGTGGCGCGACATTCCAGAGGCCATGCCCAGGATTTGTCGGATCATCAGCTCTCCGAACTCCTCCAAGTCAAAACATTTCCATTTAGGCCCCATAAGGTCCCCAAACTGTTTTGGGTCCCGAACTCCGGCTCCTTTCTATGTTTCCCGCGACTTCTAGGAACTTCCCAAGCAATAAACTTGCTGGAAAGCAAAAGTCAAGAGTGACTTAAGCAAATGGCTGTCAGAATTCCTTTTGCTACAATGTACTTTTTTCTTTACTAATCTCTACATAAATCAATATTGACATTCTCTGTCTACGTCATTCATTCAAACATGTGCCAGTCGCTGCTAGGTTCTGGAGAAATAAGCATTATTTCCTGAAGATTTGCTATAAATGAATTATGGTCTATACAACAGAAAACATTACAAAAGTGTCACTGCCTAAATGCTCCAATACATTGTAATATTCCAGTAGTCAAGCTACCAATTAACCATCCTGTGTGGAATATATTCATATATATATGAAATTGTAAGGAAAACTTAACATGGACAAAACAATCTCTATCCACAAAAAAAAAAATACTTGAGCTTTACAAACTAACCCGGGCATAGGAGGTGAGGGTGCTGCAGTAGGAGGGGTGGAATATTCAGTGCATATTGTCACAAATTCAATACACACATATGCAAATCCTGGCATAAGTTTTAATCTGTTGACAAGAAAAGCAAACTTGGTAAATAACCATTGAAATATTATTTGGCTTTATTGAACAATCACAGGTCAAGTAACCCTTACGGCTTTGTAACAAATCTGTGCATATTACAATAATTTTTGCACCTTACATCATCTTCAAGCACTTTTTGAAATCTTTTCGTTCTTTGTATTTTTGGTCATATGGTTTTGACAAATTATGAATTTCATTTTATCGGTATCTTATGTGTTGCCAGATGAATTTCAGAAAATGAGGTGGTTGGAAACTCAGTATTTTAGGAACAATGCAACAATTCTGATAGAAAGCACACATTGTTTTGATGATGACGCTGAGACCCAAAGAGAGTGACTTGTCAAAGAAGGCACACTAGAGCCCTCTTTTCTTCATTTACACACCAAAGTTCTTTTCAACCCATCAACTTGATGTTTCTCTGCATTCTAGATTTAAAAAGAAAATCTATTAGGTTCACATTTTAATTTAAAGAAGTTATATGTAACATAAACATCTAGGACTGTGTTTTTTTAAGAAATGATATTGCCAGATACAAAGGACTAGTTTCAAGAATTTGGCAATATGTTCCTCTGAGTTAAAATTTTAGTTTCATCAAAAAATTATGTGACCTGCATTTTCTGGGTAATGGTCAAATGAAGTTGTCGATAGTGTGGTCATACATGTCCACTTTGGTCATTCATTCCTGTCTTACTTCTGATGGTTTCCTACTTATGTTTTTAACCTTAATTGTTATTTTGTAGAACTTTAAGAAGAAAAATTTCAAATTTCATTATAGGCATTCTTTTTTAGAAGGAGTATAATTGGAATGAATAGAAAATGGAAATTTGAGAATTCGAGATAAATTTGCATACATAATCTATTGCCCGATATTGTATTTTATTTTAAAAATTTGTCAGTTCTGCTATTCATGAGTCAGCCTTAATATGTTGGGATGATAACCTAGGGATATTATTTAATAATTTCTAATCTGTTGCTTTAATCTGGATTGTTGACATTCAGGTAAACACATAAATTCATAGACTTAGTATAAAATTTAAAATTTAGTTTTTAATACTAATTCTATTTTTCTATTTTGGATCAGAATTGTTTCTTATAATATTCAGTATTGTCTCTTGTATATGAACCAAGGAAATGGCTATTATTCTATTTTGACTATGTGATTGTCTTTGTTTAGAAAGAGTTTGAAAATGCATTTCTGGACACCCAAAATTTAATACATTGCTAAAGCACATTTGTAAGACATGAATAAGAAAGAAACATTCAATTCATAGTGTAGATTTGAACAACTTCCATGACAAAGAGTGGTTCTTTACTTTAAGAAGAATATGAATAATTTGTCTTTTCTTTAGATGATTGACATTCTGGAATAAATTATTTCCACCAATAAGAAAACCATAAGCAATTATTCAAAGAGGATCTCACAGTGGTACCATTTAGTGGGAGTGTGTTCATAGATTAGAACCTATAATAGTACTATCTGCCTGATACATGCACAATAAAATGATTATTGAGTTAAATGGGAAGCCATGAAGGCGAGAAAAGAAGTTTTATTTGTGGTTTTGTGTGCATGTCTAATTTTTACTTTTCATTCCAATTGTACAGCTTTGTGGTTCTGGCAGTCATATTGTTTCATATAACAAAACTTATCATTATTAGTATCTCCAGCAGTCAATGGTGCTTTACACATTGAGAGTCTCCAGATCTTGCTTCTTTGTATGCTAGGGCAGTCATAACAAAATATCACAGACTGGGTGGCTTAAACAACAGAAATTTGTTTTCTCACAGTTCTGGAGGCTGGAAGTCAAAGACCGAGGGGCCAGCAGGATTGGTTTCTCCTGTAGCCTTTCTCCTCAGCTTGCAAGCGCCACACCTATTTGCTGCCTCGTTGTATGTGTTTGACCCTCTGTGCATATACTCTCTGGTTCCTCTCTCTGTTTTTGTAAGGATGCCAGCCATATTGGCTTAGAAACCTACTCTAACAGCTTCATTTTAACTTAATCACCTCATTAAAGGCTTATCTCCAAATATAGCTATATTCCAAGGTACTAGAGGTTGGGACTCCAACATACAAATTTTAGGGGAACACAATTCAGCTCACAACAGTCATTTAATCTACTTAATCCTACACTTTCCACTTTTGTGCCACTGAATATCCTTTGACATGCTTTAAAGATTAGTACTTCTGCATTTTCTGTCAATTTTGATACCTCCAATTAGAATAGTTTTGGGGAAAGAAGTTCTGTGAATTAAAAGGAATCTAGTCCAATGCAAAGTCCACTTTAAAAGCAAGTTCGGTAAAAGCTACATTTTGTCAACCGAGAATCAGCACAACAATGTAGGTTTCTTGCATGAATCACTTGCTCCCTTTACCTTGAACATGCCCAAAGGCATACTCTGACATGAAAATGGCTCAGAGTCCCTCTACCCTTTCTCATTTATTTCTCTTCTATAGTGTCAGGCATATATTTTTCTAAAGTTATCCTATAGCATATACAGAGAAAACTATGTAAACTAAGTTCATTTCCCAAGACCTCTTTCTCTCACATCAATGCGCACGATCACTACACACATACACATCCCAGAGAACTACCCAGGGGCTGCTAGTTCTGTGATGTTAGGCAACTCACCTAAGCCTTTTGCACAATCCTTACCTGTTTCCTATCAGGTACATTCTTTGAACTTCAACTTCTTTGCTCTGAATCTCAGAAAAGTCATCCCTGCATATTCCACACCTTCAGGACAGTTGGTTTCAGAATGGCTATGGCCAATGAGAGGCAGAGGTATGCTATTGGAGGGTGAGGGAAAAGGAGAAACCAGGCTGTTTCTTTCTTCTTCTCCCTCCCCACTTAGGTGGCATTTCCTGGGGCTACAGTGCTTTCAGGGTTCTATCTCTCACAAGACTGGTGTAGCCTGGTTTAGGTTTCTGCTGGAAATCTTGCTTCCTCCCATCATCCTTCCAAATTAAGAATACTTTTGTTGTTGCTAAACTCTGGTTGAACTTACTATCCTTGTTTGGCTTCTCAGCTCTCCCGATAACCAATTCTTTGAATTAGGTGTCCCTTGATTTAAATATTTAGAGAGCATTCTGTTTTTCTGAAATATGTTTTTGGGTTAGTTTTGTCATCTATAAAATTGGCATAATAATATAGGGTTATTTGATGATTAGATTATTAAGTACATGTAAATTATTTAGATTACTATAAAGCAAAAAGTAAGTACATTATATGAAAATATAAATATATTTGTAATATATTTATACTCACATACATATATAATATATAAAATTATGTCATATATAAAGAATATAAAATATAAATATCATATACATATATAAATAAAATGTACTTCTTGCCTTGTGTAATGAGAAGTATATATAATATAATAATTGTTTATACTAATATAATTATATTATATAATTGTTTATAATTAATGTATAATAATTGTATATATTGTATTATAATGCAATTATATAATATAATTATTTAAGTTAAAGCAATTACACTATTTCCACAGAGAAGGAAGCTATGGCTTATGGTTTAAGTGAATTGCCAAGAACACAACCAGAGCACCGATCCAGTCTGAATCCAGGTAAGAGGTCTACCTGACTCCAAAGCTTCTGCATTGAAATCCCCTACACTGTAGACCAGCCATTTCTAAGTGTGGTGGATGGATTTCCAGAAGTTCTCAAAAACTCTTTCAGGGGGTCAGCAAGATGCTCCTTTTACAACTATGTACATATCTGTACAAGACTGGATTGTCCTCATATACTTCAACCTAAACAAAATATGATAAAAGATAGAATGTAGAAGCAGATTGGAGAATTCTGTTGTTTTCTGTTAAGTCAGATATTAGAGATCTGCAAAATGTCAAACTATGTCAGTCTTCTTGCTAATCCAAAGCCAGTTTTGTTCTATATTTAGATGTATGTGTAGAAAAGAGGAGCCCTAGAAATGCGTGGGTGAAAAAATAAAACAGAGAATGTGATTCCACCTTTTCAGTTGCTAAAAGAATCAACAATGAATTATTTGAATGTGCTCTGAAAATAGTAAAGTACAAT